TGTTTGTTTTTTTGTAGAAATAAGAGTAAGGACAGCGCTTAAAAGTATAATTTTTATTAAATTGAATTTGATATATCCGGCTAAAGTTGTTTGGCATAAGGTGTCTGTTTTGCAACATTGTTTAACAAAATTCTTAATAAATTAAAATTTTTCAAATTAATTTTTCATTCATTTTCTGTTTGATAAATATTTCTATAAATTTTCATTTCATAATCAAATTAAATTTCCTCTTTATAGAAAAATTTCGATAAATTTTGTCTTAATAGAAAATTTGCGACTATTACGATTATTTCTCTTTGTAGAAAATTTTCGATAAATTTTCCCTTCATAGAAAATGTTCGATAAATTTTCTCTTTATAGAGAATTTTCTCTTCTTTTTATAAAAATTTTTCGATGAATTTTTTTATAGAAAAATTCCGAAACATTCCTTTTTGATAGAAAAATTTTCGGTATAATATCTTATAGATTAAACTAAGGACAAGACTATAGACTAGAGGCTAGACTTTAGACTAGACTATAGACTAGACTATAGACTAGACTATAGACTAGACTATAGACTAGACTATAGACTAGACTATAGACTAGACTAGACTAGACTATAGACTAGACTATAGACTAGACTATAGACTAGACTATAGACTAGACTATAGACTAGACTATAGACTAGACTATAGACTAGACTATAGACTAGACTATAGACTAGACTATAGACTAGACTATAGACTAGACTATAGACTAGACTATAGACTAGACTATAGACTAGACTATAGACTAGACTATAGACTAGGACTATAGACTAGACTATAGACTAGACTATAGACTAGACTATAGACTAGACTATAGACTAGACTATAGACTAGACTATAGACCTAGACTATAGACCTAGACTATAGACTAGACTATAGACTAGACTATAGACTAGACTATAGACTAGACTATAGACTAGACTATAGACTAGACATAGATAGACTAGACTAGACTATAGACTAGACTATAGACTAGACTATAGACTAGACTAGACTAGACTATAGACTAGACTATAGACTAGACTATAGACTAGACTATAGACTAGACTATAGACTAGACTATAGACTAGACTATAGACTAGACTATAGACTAGACTATAGACGAGACTATAGAACTAGACTATAGAACTGACTATAGACTAGACTAATAGACTAGACTATAGACTAGACATAACTAGACTATACTAGACTATAGACTAGACTATAGACTAGACTATAGACTAGACTATAGACTAGACTATAGACTAGACTATAGACTAGACTATAGACTAGACTATAGACTAGACTATAGACTAGACTATAGACTAGACTATAGACTAGACTATAGACTAGACTATAGACTAGACTATAGACTAGACTATAGACTAGACTATAGACTAGACTATAGACTAGACTATAGACTAGACTATAGACTAACTATAGACTAGACTATAGACTAGACTATAGACTAGACTATGACAGACTATAGACTAGACTATAGACTAGACTATAGACTAGACTATAGACTAGACTAATAGAACTAGACTATAGACTAGACTATAGACTAGACTATAGACTAGACTATAGACTAGACTAGAGACTAGACTATAGAATAGACTCTAGACTAACTAGACTAGACTATAGACTAGACTATAGACTAGACTATAGACTAGACTATAGAATAGACTTAGACTGAGCTATAGACTAGACTATAGACTAGACTATAGACTAGACTATAGACTAGACTATAGACTAGACTATAGACTAGACTATAGACTAGACTATAGACAGACTATAGACTAGACTATAGACTAGACTATAGACTAGACTATAGACTAGACTATAGACTAGACTAGACTAGACTATAGACTAGACTATAGACTAGACTATAGACTAGATAGACTAGACTATAGACTAGACTATAGACTAGACTATAGACTAGACTATAGACTAGACTATAGACTAGACTATAGACTAGACTATAGACTAGACTATAGACTAGACTATAGACTAGACTATAGACTAGACTATAGACTAGACTATAGACTAGACTATAGACTAGACTATAGACTAGACTATAGACTAGACTAGACTAGACTATAGACTAGACTAGACTAGACTATAGACTAGACTAGACTAGACTATAGACTAGACTATAGACTAGACTGACTAGACTATAGACTAGACTATAGACTAGACTATAGACTAGACTATAGACTAGACTAGACTATAGACTAGACTAGACTAGACTATAGACTAGACTATAGACTAGACTATAGAGATAGGGCCGTGGCTCTGGCTACTATCGGGGTCAGCAGGTGGCGGATAGCTGAACGACCTACAAATATGTAGGCCAGCTGCGATAGATAAGCAGTCCCCGACCATGAGCGGCAGAATTCGAGGGCGTGCTAGAAAAAGGTTACATGAGCCTAATGACGATTCTGTGACATGGCGATTAGATGCCGCCAGTAAGTAAGCATCCCCCACAAGAGGTACCCTCTAGAGAGGTGTAATTAGAAGAGTGACGTCTTCGTGGTTCCTCTAGTCATATTTAAACCCAGAAGCGTCTGTTTCATATTGAACGGCTCTCTGGTCAGCGTCTTTTTCCCAAGTAAGGGGCGGCTGCGAATCAATATCCTGGCGGTCAGGTCAAAAACGCTACGGGTAGGATCCCGGAATAACAAAACAAACATGGAAAAGTTTAATAAGGAAAATTCAATTACGGTGCAGGGAGTAATGACCCCAGTACCGGCGGCTTTGGGTAGTGCGCGAGCAGGCTACCAGTCGTCGAAATCCAGCGCCTGCAATGTTACCCCGGTAAGCTTGGCTAAGGTAACAGATAATGCTACAAGCAACAATCACCAGAAGGAGTGCAATAAAGGGGGAGAAAATAGCGACCAACCTATTGGTGGACAGGAACACTATTTTACTCCAGTAAGCAGTTTTTCTCGCAGTGGTACTACAAATCAAGGTGGGAAAAATCAAATAAACCCTTTCCAAAGAAGTGCGGCTACAAAAAGAACTCCACCGCAAACTACTAGCAGCAAAGAAAACACGACTCAAGAAGAAGCAATTAGTGATAATGCGCAGCCTTCAGAGTCATTCTGCCTTTTAGGGAACTTAATTGTTGATTTGATGGACTTTGTAAAACCCAAAAACAATGTACACAATGCCATTAAAGATCAATTGACCGCAATCCGAGCTATGTATAATAAAACAAGAGAAGAACTACGTAATGGTATAAATATGACATACCGACAAGAAGTAGAACAGTCCACGCAGACATCACCAAGACAAGAAGTGGAACAGTCCATGCAGACATCACCAATAGCATGGCCGTCCAAAAGGGAATCGAAAAGAAATTTAGAAGACAAAACAGCTCCAAAAATGCCGACGCCGAAAAGACTGAAGCAAAGCCTTCCACAAAATAGGACAACACTAACTCCACTAGAAGAACTCCCTAGTAGAAAGCCAGAGTCGGATAACCTAGAAGCCGGATGGGCTATAGTTAAGAAGAAAAAGAATACGAGATCCCGCAAGCCTCGGCCAGATACTATGATAATATCTGCCAAAAACGATATCTCTTACGCTGATATTTTAAAGAAAATTAGGGCAGACCCTGAACTAAAAGAACTAGGTGATGAGGTAAACAAAATTCGAAGAACCCAGAAAGGCGACCTTCTTTTAGAACTTAAGTCTGGAAGCGAAAACCTAGCAGAAAGATTTAATGAAAAAATTAAAACATCTTTGGATGGATCAGTGGATGTAAAAACACGAATAGATGAGATTGTTATTGAATGTAAAGATATGGATGATATCACTACAAAGTTAGAAATATGTCAATCCTTTTCCAAAGCGCTAGGTATACCAGATCTAAGAGAAAATATTGTTAAGTCCCTCCGAAAGACCTATGGAGGAACTCAATCAGCTAAAATTAGCCTCCCAACAGAAGCTGCAATGAAAGCACTCAAGCTAAAAAAGATCAAAATTGGTTGGTCTATGTGTCGCATAAGAGAAACCATTACACTCACTAAGTGTTTTAGGTGTCTAGAATTTGGCCATATTTCAAGATTCTGTAAATCTGACGTACACTGAAAGAAAAACCTTCGTAAATACAACGTTTTTCTACGTTATATTAATGATTTTGTTCTTGAAATCAGTCCAATGACCGGTGTCATTGCATTAACGAAAAATGTTTCATTAATCTCAAAATTTTCGTAAATATAATGAAATAATGTCATTAATACCGAATACATAAATAACGTAACCAAACGTTTTTACAATGTAAAATATCATTAAACTAATGAAACAATTTCGTCAACATAATGAAATAGTTTCATTAAATTAATGAATCTCTTTCAATAATAATATGAAAAAATCATTAATTTAACGATTTTGTTTCGTTACTGTTAAGAACCTTTATCATATATGCAATGAATGTTGTCATTGGTTTAATGACATTGTTTCATTGATATAATTATATCCTACATTAATGGAACGTAATTTTTCCATTTCAATAATGACTTTTGTCATTGATTTTCCTACCTTGTTTCGTAAATGGAATGTGCTCCTTCATTAATGTAATGAAATATATCATAAATATAATGATTATGAGACATTATATTAACAATATTAATCATTATTTTAATAAATGGTTTCATTTCAGAAACGGTTTCTTTCTTAATAATAGTGAACAAAAATTAGTTGATTATAATTACAATTTATTAGGATTTTAATCTACATATTTACATATATGTATACATACATTTAATATTTAAAAATTATTTAAATTCGATTTGAATATACATACATACTATGCATTTGCATAAATAGAAAAAATATTATATGGAAAAAATTGAATATCAGTAATTAAACTCATAAATAATTAAAAAAAAATATATAAATAATAAATTTCAGTTTCATATAATAAAATAAATAGAAAAATTGTTTCAATATAAACAATTAAATAATAATTTAGTAATAATATCAATAGTTTTAAATTTGAGATAATTTATCCAGTAGTATACAAACTTTTGTATTCTTTGTTTCTGCTTTTGAAATATTATAAAGATAGTTTTCTACAAACATCCAAAACGGACCACTTGCCATTGGATATTCAACATTAAATAAGTGGAACGATTTAAAGCATATATCAAAAGCTCTCTGAAAATTTGCGAATGGCATCAATTGGCCATCCAAATATACATAAAATGAATTAATTTTAAGAGTTTCTACATCACCTAAACCCAAAATAAACGGCTGAACTGGATCGCCTTTCGCTGATAAAAAATCCAAATGGTCTTCTAAAGACTGCATCGTTGCATTTATGTAAATAAATGAATCTTGGGAATCTTTAATGGTAAACTTTCCGTATTCCCTTTTTCCGTACACATTTTTTCTTAAAAACTTTTTTGTTTGGTACAAATTGTAATGCAGGCACCATAGCATTTTTAGATGAAATATATCTTTATCTGAAAATAAAAAGAAAATATATATTAATAAATTATTTAAATATTATTTAATGATAAAATACCTTCTTCCAGTTCACGTTTATCTACTGTCGCTACAATTTTGTTAACAGATCTATCTTTGATATTAGCATGATGTTTCAAAAAGGTATAAAGTTTCAAAAATTTATCTTCCCAGCTTAAAATAGAAGGCACGTTTTTGTGAATAGCATTGAAATCGCTTTCAATCTATAAAATAAATATAATTCTAAACATGAAGTGGTTATAAATTAAAATAAAAGTAACCTACAAATTTATATCCGTTCGAGCCCTTATATTGTGGCCACAGCTTTAACGCCTCTTTAATATTTTGACACTCATTTCTAATTTGATTTAAACGAAATTTAACACATGCAGCCCAAGCTGAATTAAATTCGTCAGCGGTCAAATTATCGAACTTTATTTTCTGGAGGAATAATTGTGCGTCATCTTCTGGTTCTGGAGAGTAGAAAAATACACAAATTAATACATGAAAATAACTTATTTTAGACATATAATATACATACCAATGACGTCTTTTAAATCCGAAATGTTGTCAGAACTGGATTCACAATATTTAAAAAATTTCGACTGCTTCTTCTTATTGTAGTACTTCACATATATCTTTCCTCGTCGTTCCGTTCTATAATATTCCAATTTTTCCGATTGAAAGATTTGTAAAATTTGTCTTTCTATTTCGTAACTAGTTTGAAGTGACATTTGTAAATTCTTTGACTCGAAATGTTCAACAATAATATTTATTAAGCATGAACGTTGCACTTCTGTGATGAGATGTATTTTTTCGTAATATTCTAAAATGTTGCACCCATTTGTGTGTTGTTTTAAAATGTCCAAAACTATTATTTTAGAATTTTGAAACTCGAATTCGCTGCAAGAAGACTGAGACAGTGAAAAAGGTGATGAAACGGTTTTGGATTCCTGAGAGTCACTCAAGGTTTGTTGATTCATTATGGGGATGTTATTCTCCGCCCTCCACTTTTGTAAATTGTATTTAAAAATGATCTTGTCGCCAATTTTCATTTGCTGAGTAATTTCAAATAAGTCATTAACAGACATAATGGAAAGGGCATGGTTTGTGATGTTTTGTTCTGAAAAATATATATTTTAATAGTGTGTTTAAATTTTTACATAATTATTAATAATGTTTACCTTGAAAAAAGTTTATGAGGTGATTTAGGCCCCAAGAAGTTAGTAGATTTTGTAACGTGTTTTTTTGAGTTTCTTCATCTAAAAAAAATTTAAAAGTATTCTTTAGTGCGTATCATAAATTTCCCTTTTGATGTATTAATAATAGTCGTCGGGGGTCCAACTAATGAATCAGTATTGAGAAGAGCAAATTCCCCTATGTCGTTTGGGTTAATTTCAAATGCCGTGTAATGCTTAAGGTATATTGTATTACAGACTTCTTGAACGAATAGATACAATGATTCATCTGAAACAATTGCATTAATGATTTTATATATTTTATAATCTTGTGTTCTGGTTGCAACAAAAAATCATTTTTTGTACAAAACATTATTATATATTACTTTGTCATATGCTTTTATAAGACTTTTGGGTTTCTTAAGTTTACATGATATAAAATCAAGAAATGGACTGTCACTTTTGTCATTATCCAAGCAACTATAGCTTGATTTTATATTAATTTCTGAAAGTAAATAATTTGAAAAATAAAATTGGTACTTGCGTGCTATGGATACGCTAACGTTTTTTCTGGAAGTAATGGAATGTGAATAACTTTTAAAAATGCGATGTCTTGCTTCGAAATGAAAACTCCAAAATTTTCTCACAGGTCCACATAAAGCAATGACATCGGGATAATGGGTTAAAATATGAAATTTTGGTTTCAAATTTTCTTTAAAAAGTTTTAAATATAATTTATTATGGTTTTCAATATTAACTTTGAAAGCATTAATTGAAGAGGCATTTATTTTAAACAACAATATAAAGTCTATTATCTCAATAAGAAGCAATATAAACAGCCAAACTTCATCGTCAGAAGGTACCAAATCCCCTACCATTATTGGAAAAAATATGACGAAAGTCAGCATTTCACGAGCAGACATTCTCAAATGTTTTTTCTTGATATGAGTTAACAAAATATTTTGAGATATATTTCCAATTTCTAACTCGCCATATTCAAATTGTGCTTTTCTTTTATTTAAAATTTCTAGCGAAAAATATTTTTTTTCTTGAATAAAATACAATATAGCATTGGTCATGTCATAATGACATATTCCCTCCATGACATCATGCATTGCATCAACACTCATATTATCTACAACGTGAAATGATGGTATTCTGTTAAATATGCATTTTTCAGAAATGCCGCTTTCTTTAGCATTATTTTCTTGCACATGTAAATTATAATTTTCATATGTTCGGCGCAATTCGGGTAATGTTGTGGGGGTTTTCTGACTATCCGTCTTACTTATTGTGCAAAAACGACAAAATGTTGTGTTAAATGATTTTGAAAAACCTAATAAGCTATTTAAACCTAAATTATCTCCTAAAATAAGAATAGGTATGAAGTGTGGGTGAAACTCTTCCCCATTTGATAACTTTATTTTTACACCGTCTACTTCCAAACTTATCATTTCATCAATTAAGGGCTTTAAGCATTTTTTTTTACCAATAGTTTTTATATCTTTGGAATTAATAGCAGAAATAAAGAACACATTTTGTAGTTTTGTGTCATTAGGGAGACAAGGGAAACTATAATAAAAGTTGCAAATTGTATTTGCAGAATGAGATCCTAATGGATTGTTGATTTCTAGATCATCGGAATATAAAAAGTATGGAAGAACAATTTCATTTGGATATAGCTCACATTTCTTTTTCCAAAGATCTCCCTGTACAATATTTTGTAAACAGTCACTAGAAGAGACATTTGAAATAAACTTTAACATATCTATAAAAACATCGTCTTTCTCAAGAATTTTTTTAAAACAATACCTCATGGGCATAAATGCAATTTTTTTATTGATTTGTGCATATTCCAGCTTACCTTTCTTATGAGTCATTGATCCACTTGAATCGACAACCACTTCCTCAATCGATTGAAACAAATCCTCCTCCATAAGTTTGGTTTTCAGCAAATGCTCCGTTTTTATAGTAACAAAGATCTTCTGAATATCTTCTGTAAATTTAGTAACTTGTAAATAAATTTCATTGCTGAGAGTTTGTCCAAAATTACAAAACATAGATAAAAGGGGCTGGATTATTAACTTAAACATGTTTTCATTTATGTTTTCTGCATCTTTTCTTGAAAATTGGAAGTTTGAATATAAATTACTCTGAAATATTAAACAATTTTTAAGTAATGTATTAAAGCATACATTTTCTTTTGAATTTTGATTTTCCTCATGCCCTTTTGCTCTACTATATTCTGTTTTATAATTTTCACAATTATTTACAAAAGTTTGCTCATTATTTACAACACTTTTTATATTTGTACAAGTAGAATTATTTTGACTTGAATGTTTTGTTCTGACATGTTTTCTGAAAGACGACGAATTCTTATAAATGCTTCCGCAGCATTTATAATCATCATTATATTTCAGAAAATGATAGCGTTTTAAATGATTAAAGTAGCTTTCATTTTCATTAAAAACGTTTTTGCACAAAAAACACTTCATTATTATTAATTACCAAATTAGATTTTGATCACTATTTAACTTTTTATAAACACCAAATATATTTTTTACTCAGCACCTCTTCACTTTTTGACTGTTTAAAATAAACTAAAAATAAACTCTCAAAAACAGGTGGTGATGCAATTTATGTTGTTGTTGTAATTTTTTTATACATGTCGCGTTATGTTCCAACTCTATTTTATTTTTTGCACTTCTTACGTGTTGTTGTTGTACCAACCCTCAAACACAGCATCAACTAATTTGATGCTGTGTGTTGTTGTTGTACAAATTATTTTTTCACTCCTGTTTGTAAGAAATAAAGTGGCATAGAAACTCACAAAAATCAGAAGTTGATATAATGTATTATGTTGTTGTTGTACCAACTTAAAACACAACTGATTTTTTGTCTCCATCAGCATCAACATTCTCTTGTGTCCCGTTATTTATTTTAGAAACTTTCAATATAATGCAACTTTACGTTGTATTGATAACCAAATTGTTGTATTTACTATTATTATATTAAATACTTACTATTTTTTAATGACACATTACGTTAAATTAATGATAAAATCATTGTATTTACTATAAATTGTCATTAAAGATACATTTGTCCGTTATAATTTCTTAGCAAATAAATATAATGACACATTACGTTATATGAATGACAAGTTACATTAATTTAATCACATGGTTTCATTAACATTACGTGATTGTTAAAAAACTTGTTTAAAATGTTAATGTAAAATGACATAATTTGTGGCGTTTTTCGTCTCATTAATGACAATTTATCATATTTGCAAAATAACAAGAACTAAGCCACTTTAACGCTAAAAACTACATTAATTCGGTTCCTTTATATATAATTTTATTTTATATATATATATTTGTTTATTTTTTGATATTTTATCAAACTAAAATTCGAAAACAAAAAATACATTATTGCTACGTAAATATTTCATTAAATATTGAAGGGGTGCTGTATTTCTTACAAATATTACTATATTTACATAAAAACAATTAGGATCTGTCAATTAAACCTTTTTTAGACCAAACAATTAATTTAGGAAATATTCGTTATTCAATTTATATATTAAATCTCACGTTAAAGTTTTACGTAATATTAACGTAAAAAGTTTCGTAGCATTAATGACACTACGAAATACCAAAAAATAATAATTTTGTTTGAATTGTAATATTAACGTAACTGTTGTAAATACAACGTAAAATTTCGTAGCATTAACGAAACTTTTCATTGCATTAACGTAAACAGGTTAACGTAAGAGTTTCATTGGGGTTACGAAGCGTTTTTCTTTCAGTGTAGATAGATCGAATCGGTGTCTAAGGTGTGGACTTGATGGGCATTTAGTGAGGGATTGTCAGGCCGAGCCGAACTGCATGCTGTGTAAAGCTGGAGGGAATACGGATCTAAAGCACAATGCTGGTAGCTATAGATGTCCTATATTTAGAAAGGCGTTAAGTTCCAGACACAAATGAAGTTTATTCAGCTTAATATAAACCATTGTAGTGCAGCGCAGGAGTTATTAAACCAGACCATCTGTGAACAACAAATTGACGTCGCCCTTGTTTGCGAGCAGTACAAAAACCTTGAGAGAAATGTTTGGGAAAGTGATTCAACAGGTAAAGCAGCAGTGTGGGCCTGCGGCAACAAAGCAATAGAGAAAGGTATGCACCATTTACAAGGCTTCGTAAGAATTAAGATCGGTGGAATATTCGTATATAGCTGTTATATATCACCTAATATACCACAACATGAATTCGAGCAAATAATAGACAACCTAGTGAACGACGCAACTAGGCATAATCCAATTGTCATAGGAGGTGATTTTAATGCATGGGCAATAGATTGGGGTAGCAAAAGAACAAACAAAAGAGGCAAAATACTTCTGGACGCGTTTTCTAGACTTGACGTGATTCTAGCAAACAAAGGACAGGCACACACTTTTCGAAGAGCTGGTTATGGGTCAGTAGTCGACATAACCTTCGTGAGCTCTAGTTTATCAAAAGAAATGGATTGGTATGTTAGTGAACACTATACTCACAGTGACCATCAGGCTGTAATTTTCACAATTAATCCCAATACATCATTGCGTATAGTATCAGACAAATTTAAATTTCAAGGATGGGCGAAAGATAAGATCGATGAAGAAGCCTTTACCGAAAGCCTTTCATACCAGCAAATTGAAAATGGCCCGGTATCCGATATGGCAGAAAAAGTCTTAGCAGCACTAAAGATGGCTTGTGATGCGTCCATGCCAAGAAAGAGATCAAACCATAGAAGGAAAGAAAACTACTGGTGGAATGATAATATATCAGCCCTTAGAAGCGAATACTTGAGAAGTAGAAGAAATACCAAAGAAGCAGAGGCAGACCAGACTTCATATCTAAAAGGGAAATATATCACGAAGCCAGGAAAGGCCTACAAGAAGCCATTAGACGTAGTAAATCCGAGTGCTTTAAAGAACTATGCAACGAAGCCGATGCAAATCCCTGGGGTAACGCATATCGAGTTGTAATGTCAAAGCTAAAGGGGAAGAGGTCAGCCCAAATAACATGCCCTAACCTTATTAGAGAAATAGTATCAGTTCTATTCCCGGAAGGAGAACCGTACTCAGAGCCGTATTCAATCGTGCAACAAGGCGAGATAGAAGTGACAGAGGAGGAAATAATAAACCTCTGTGCAAGGATTGGCGATAACAAAGCACCAGGCCTTGACTTCATTCCGAATAGGGCTTTAAAGATCGCTCTAAAATCAAGACCAGAGATTTTTACCAGACTGTTCAGCAGAAGTCTCAGAGAGGGGAAATTCCCCGAGATCTGGAAGAAACAAAAACTAATTCTGATACCAAAACCAGGAAAAACATTAGGTGAACCACAATCATACCGACCAATCTGTCTACTCGACACCTTAGGCAAATGCTTGGAACGAATTGTCTATACGAGACTGTTAAAGGCAGTAGAAGAAACCTGTGGGCTATCGGATAGGCAATATGGATTTAGAAAGGCTAGATCAACAATTGATGCAGTGAATTTCGTAACTGAAACAGCTAAGAATGCAATCAATGGAAAAGGCAAGAATAGATATTACTGTGCCATAATTACACTAGACGTTAAAAATGCTTTTAATTCTGCGGGATGGAAACACATTATTTCCTCGTTAAGATCTCTTAATGTCCCCGACTACCTTATTGCAATAATAAAGGATTACTTCTCAAACAGAACACTGTGGTTCGAAACTGACAATGGTACGGAGTCGTATAATATTACATCAGGTGTCCCACAAGGATCAGTCCTAGGACCTGTGGAATATTATGTACAATGGCATATTTGACTTAAGAATCCCAGAAGAAGCGACCGTTGTAGGATTCGCAGACGACGTCGCAATCCTTGTCAGAGCACGTCACCTGGATGAAGTCCAGTTATATGCGAACGAATCAATTGCAATTATTAGAAATTGGATGAAAGATATGAATCTGAAACTTGCAGAGCATAAGACGGAGGCAGTGCTTATAAGCGGAAAGAGGAAGAGAGAGACTCTTTCATTTACTGTGGGGACAACTGAAATCAAATCGTCTGAATCTATTAAATACTTAGGTATAATGGTTGACGATCGCCTAAACTTTAAGAAACACATAGAATATACATGTGAGAAAGCAACAGCTGTATCAAATGCCTTAGCAAGAATGATGCCAAACATCGGTGGCCCACGACAGAGTAGAAGAATTTTAATTTCAAGGGTAAAGAACTCAGTTATTCTTTATGGAGCACCAATTTGGGAATGCGCAATATCTGAAGCATCTAGAAAAAACATTTCTGCAATACATAGAAGAAGCTGCCTAAGAGTATGTAGTGGTTACAGGACAATTTCTGCAGAAGCAGCAAATGTAGTAGCGGGCTTAATACCTGTGGACTTAGCAGCCAAAGAACTATCGGCTGTCTACGAAGAGAAATCTAGAAACCCACATATCCCAAAGGTGGAAATAAGCCGGATAGAAAGGGAGAAAACTATGAGGGAATGGCAGAGGAGATGGGAAAGTACAAGTAAGGGCCGATGGACCTTTCAGCTAATCCCAGACATCAATATATGGATAAATAGACGCCATGGTGAGCTGAACTACCATTTGACGCAATTCCTTACAGGACATGGTATCTATAGGAGCTATTTATACCGGTTTGGCCATGACAACTCACCAAGATGCCCGAAATGCCCAGATCTAGATGAAACAGTAGAACATGTCGTTTTTAATTGCCCACAATTCTCTGGACTACGAAGCAGGTTGGAATCGTGCATTGGCGAACAAATAAGGACAGACAATATAATAGAAGCAATTCTAAAATCAGAACATAACTGGTCATTGGTGAACACGTACATAACTTCAATAAATATAGCTCTGCGAGATGCAGAGATTATTCGCAAGGCCCAGAACGTGGCCTAGGAGACGAACTCTGAGAGTTAAGGAAGTTCAGCGTCAAAGCTGACCACCCCGCGAAGTAGTACCTGGTGGCAGTTCCGCGGAGTGTGGTGTTGACGATGGAGGTGGTTTTAGTCG